TAAAATCATTTTATAGAGCCAGATATGATGTATAAAATCCCATCTTTTAAAAAAAAATCCTGTATTGTAGTATTATTAATCATTTATAATGAGCGATCAAGTTTAGTCACCAGACCCTTTTTGGGTAAACTAAAATTATTTATAATTATTTATTTTAGGGTATGTCGATGTATACAGTAGTTTTAACAAGCGTAAATGGGGAACACGTTGGTGCCTTGTACACGAGAACAATTTTGAATGTTATCGGACACAAACGAGTGAAGTTTGCGAGTTGGAATTTCAAAAGCGAGCTTGGTCTAATGCTCCTGGAAAATAATAGGGAGAAAAAACAATAGAGGTATGTGTGATGAAAGGAAGTCTTAATTTTGAGCAGATTTGAAGGCACTTTGATTTTTTACAGATTTTAAAGTACTCTGTTGAAAAAAATATGTACGACACTGTCTCTTAAGTGATATAATATTAATATTCATTACATTGTTGAAGTTGTAGATTTTACACAATACTCGTTAGTCGTATGTATCTTAGATACCAACATTTGACACTTGCAACATACACTATGCTTTCGACAGGTCATGTTTATATGATATTTCCTGTTTTTTATGCTCCCCGAAAAAATTCGAGGGAGAATTTAGTCGTCGGGTTGTCTGTCCGTTGGTCCGTCAATCCGTCCATCTGTACATATGTACGTACCTACGTCCCGAATTCGTGTCCGGTCCATAACTTCATTATTTGAAGTCGGATTTTAAAACTATTTTACAGAAATGATCACCATATTGAGACAGCATGTCGCACGTAACATTTGGGTCACTATCTTGAAGGTCAAGGTCATAGCATGACCTTGCAGCAAAATTGTGTCCAGCCCATAACTTCTTTTTTGAAGTCGGATTTTAAAACTATTTCACAGAAATGATCACCATATTAAGACGACGTGTCGCGCGTATCACTTGGTTGGATCGCTACCATGAAGGTCAAGGTCACAGCATGACCTTGCAGCAAAATCTTGTCCGGGCCATAACTTCGTTATTTGAAGTCAGATTTTAAAATTATTTCACAGCAGATTTTAAAACTATTTCACAGAACTGATCACCATATTGAGATGAAATGTCGCGCGCAACATTTGGGTCGCTACCTTGCTGGTCAAGGTCACAGCATGACCTTACAGCAAAATCGTGTCCGGCCCATTAATTTGTTATTTGAGGTTGGATTTTAAAACTATTTCACAGAATTGATCACCATATTGAGACAATGTGTCGCGAGCAACATTTGGGTCGCTACCTTGGAAGTCAATGTCACAGCATTACCTTGCAGCAAAATCGTGTCCGGCCCATAACTTCGTTACATTTAAGTCAACTATTTCACAGAGATGATCACCATATTGAATCGACGTGTCACATGCAACATTGGGGTCGCTACCTTGAAGGTCTTGAAGAAAACCTATGCGAGGAGCATCACCCCGTTCAACTGGCTCTTGTTTTTTTTAGGGGGGAATTTGGATATATACTGATACAAGGAAATAGGACACTTGCTTAGATAAAATCCATTCATTTAATAACTTAAGTATTTATGTATTAAACCCAAGATCAAGTTTAGTATACTAGGTTTGGTCAAAAAGTGTTACGGTGGACGGTAGCACTTTCAAGTACCATTCATGAGCAGGCTAAATCAATTCAGGCCTGCAACATTTTCAATGTTTCCTTTTTTGGGTGTTCTTTAGGAATTCATTTTTATCTATGTCATGGCAATACTGAATAAGATGTCTGTATTTGTGTCTTATTATTTCAATATTTAGCCAATTAATTTGACATGTATTATTATTTCGTTATTTATCCAATTAATTGGAAGTGTATTATTATTTGTTATTTAGCCAGTTAATTGGACATGTATTATTTTGTCATTAAGCCAATTAATTGGACGGAGCTTGGTTCCTGGCTTCGAGTTCTGATGCAGGAAACTAGTACACAGAAAACACCTGAAGGATTGGAGGGCTATATGGATGATGCACATCCTTATCATGAAGCTGTTGAGATAACTCGTGTACCCGATCCTATCAATAGATCTTCTTATGTAAGTCACACAATTTAACAGTTGAGTTTATATATTTTTCCAGTAAAACCTGTAAGATGCACTGACACTTTACCGAGATATGAGAAATAATGTGTTAACCAAACTCAAACTAAACGCAAACTGAAATGTAAACACACAATCATCTTTTACAACAATAATATCGATCTTTATTTTACAGTCAAACAAATCAAAACAATTAAAAGATTAAGGAACAAAAAAAAAAAAAAAAAAAAAAAAAAAAAAACGAGGAAAAGAATTTGTAATGATTAGAAAAAATGCAATAAATATTTTTGGTTTATAGTTCTTATGTTAATCGTTTTCTTTTTAGCTTTACGAACATGACAAAGAATAATTTGATTGATATGGATCTATCTTGTGACAAAAAAGATTCAAGGTCTTAAGTCTAAATCATTCTAAAAAAATATCTTTTTCTCTAAATAATATGTATTTCTATTATAGTTATCTGTTAAACCAAAAGTACAATCATCATCATCTTTGCCTGATGAACAGACCAGATCAGGTGGTCATGAGAACCGTGACAGTGGAATATGTTCCTCAGAATCAACTAAAGACAGATTTAACTCATTAGATAGAAACAGAAACTCTCCAAAAGTACATCCTTGTTTCACAGATTCTAGTCTCCCACGAGTTAGTGTCTTTGAAACTGGTGCTATTTATACTCAGATGAAAAGACCCAGTGTAACTGGATCTTCATTATCACCAACAACAGGAAGCGTGAGTAATTGCAGCAAGTCTAATGAAAACTGTAGAAAAGATGATGACGCAAATAAAAATAGTGATGATGATAATTTATTCTTTGACTTTGAAATTGATACATTTGGAAATTCATCTAATAAAAGGGGCAGCAGTTTAGTAGATGAGATAATGTGGGAATTGAAGATTCAGCACGATACTGATAAGACATCTACTGAAACTGGTGAACAGAAAATTTCTGAACTAACCGACAATAATCCAGAGTCATTGACTATAACTAAAAGGAAATCAGTGGAGTTCAGTCCTATAGAGAATGATATCAGTCCAATTAAATCCGAAGATGTAACGACTTCAAGAAGAGAATCTGATTTTCTTTGCTCAAGTTTTGATATAAATGACAATGAACAAGTAACAAGTGATTTAAAATGTGATAATAATGAAGAGTCAAATTTAGTAATTGATGTTCAAACATGTTCAGTTGGAAAAATGACGTCAGTGAAGAGGCATCCTTCAAACGTGTCGGCTAAAATAGATGTCACAGAAACTTTGGCAGAGCTGAGAACAAGACTTGTACAGCTTAAGAAAGACAGGTTAGTCCATTTACTTAGACAACAATTTTTTTTATAAAAACATTGGATGATGTTACTTTTGATATCATGAAAGGGGAAATGAAAAGTCTGACTAACATATTTTCATTAATTAGATTTATTCCTTTTAGTGAAGAAATACTTCCGTTTGTTCGTATAAAGGTTAAGTCTTTGAAATAATTCACATTGATACTTGAACGTTTACATATTTTGCCGTAGAGTTTCAGTAGTGTAACTGAATAAAGAAATGATACGCTTTTAGTCAGATGCAAGCGGGTTTCTTACATAACACAAACCTAAATGCTTTAAAATTCCCCTTGTGGCTAAAGTATATTTATAAAAGTCAACAAGCCATTTAATAAGGATGCCTTTGTTAATAAATGCACATTACTAACAGGTTTATTATGTCAAATTTGCTCAAATCTTCATATAATTTTTTGAATAATGAAGACTCAATGGTATTGTTACTAGGCGGCCAAAGCTGGTTAAATTTTCCAACTCGTACATGTATATATATATTACTGTTTTGAGTCGTTACGTCAAAACCTTGGCTATCTTACTGAGGTAAATATATTTTACATATTATTTTCAGAATAAGTATCAGAGACAGAAAACAACAGATATCATCAGAGAGGGATAGAGAGTTCCTAGAAGCTGAATATGAAAGGTTAAATAGGGAGTGCAAGAAAGTAACTGAAGAAATAAAACAGTTAGAACAACCAGTTGATAAAATTGTAGATGAATTTAAAAGAAATTTGAATTTAGATGTGGAAACCCAAGGCATCAATGAAAACAAAAGAGAAAGTACATCTTGTGATAATCTAGAAATACAAGGTGATTCTGGTGTTGCAAATAAAAGAAGTGTGTTGTGTGATACTGTTAAAATGAAAGAACTGTGCAATGACGTTGATTGTAACAATGAAATAATTTCAAGTACCACTGCAATTAAACAATTTGATCCTGTTGTAACACAACCTACTGATAATGTTTTAGACAATGACGAGAATGTAAGTAGCACTGTTTCAAAACTATATAAAGATAGTCTTTCAAACAGAACTGAAATGTCCAGGGAAACATTAACAAATGAAAGTACAGAATGTATTGCAGATAATGTAACTTTATTGGAAAAACAGTTAAAACTATTCTGAGTTCCAACAGAAGGATTTTGATAGTGAAAAGCTTTGATACAAGTGTTGTCTAAAAGGAAGACAATAATTACTCATGGACTGTCCTGTATTTGAGCACTACAAAAAATTTTTATTAAAGTAATTAGATCATAACTTCTTGAAGTAAAAAGCAAAAAAAATAGTACAGAAAAACGAAAACAACAACTGATAATATAAAGGATAACTAATTGAACGATGAATAAAATACAAACATTAGGACATTTACGGAACAATTCAACCAAAGATGCTGATCACAACTGAGTATAAAATGATATCAAGGATAATAGGCGCGCACAAGAAAGAATAACCCAAAAATAACCCTATGACACAACCGCTCCTGGAAGATTCTAGAACTAAATAAAAACAAAAAACAAATATGATAATTAAAAGTGTGAGCCAAATGTAAGCTGAACCTTTCAAAGCAAATAAGATTCTAAATAATTATGCATCAACAAAGAAGTCAAATACATGAGAAAAATAGAATAACAAAAATTCCTTGTTCTACAATACTGACACATAAATAAATATCACATCTTTGAGATCACTCAATGTATAAAGAATGTTATAGTTCCTAAAGAGTTCTATCATTCCTTATATTGCAAAGATGATTTATATCAACTGTATTTTGCATTATTACATTTTATCTCTCTTTAGAACATGCTCACACTCGCGCATGATATCAATTGAAAGAGTGGCTGGTATGAGTTTTACTTACTAGATAAATGATATTTTAATTTAATTATAAACGTATTACATTCTCTCTCCTACACTCTTACTATGTTAGATGGAGCTCTGGTGATGGGTCGAGTGAGTGAGAGAGTATCACGCAAATTTTCATTATAGCACCCTCTGTGAGGAAGAGGAATATAAAAAATCATAAAATATAATAAATTCAAACTCTAGAAGTTTTACAACCAATAGGTCCAAATTTCGCCCCAATAAACAAAAAATAAAGTTATAACCCATGATACAAGCTTTTATATGGAATCTGCTACAAGTTGCACAAGTTTCATTTAATATAACTATATATGATTATTAACAGTGTAAGAGCGCGGAAACCGTAATTAAACGCGACCAGATCTCACCACATATAAGTATTTAACAGAAACATGATTCATGGTAGGAGAGGACGAGTTTAAACAATTATATTTATGTTATCCTAACGTGAGTGGTACATATTGTAAATGATATTGATTATTCAAAGAGGGCCACGAAATGTAAATGATTGTGTCTTACAGAAGAGGCACGCGCGACCTAATGTTGTTCTGACTATAAAATATTACTGCCTATAATTCCATTTTCACATGCTGACTGTTCGATCGTTATACGACTAAAAGAGTGATGTTATCTGTCACAGAATACTAAATGTAGTGATTGATGGAAGGACTAACTCTCTCTAGATAATCTAGTAGTGTCGACATAAATAACTGCTAATCATTGACAGTATTTTAATTAATTAAAGTTCGTCTTACATAAATTCAAGTGCTTTTTTTTATTAGTTCTATATAATTTTAGAGCGTTTAACTCCCGGTTTGATCAGCATAGTTATAGTAAAAGTGCTGGGGTTTATATCTTGTTTACAAATGAAGTACTTTACTAATCATAATAGAAAACCAAATAGTAAATACATGGATTTATGCTTTTTTTTAAATTTATATATTGCCAAATAATCGGGGATTTGGTCTTAAATTTAATTGTATTGACTATATCTCAACAATAATAAGATTATATAAATATAAAAATGAATTTTAAATCGAAGTATGCTCTTTTTGTATATTCTGTTACAAAACGAAATCTCATAAAGAAATGAAATATTTTAAATTTAATTGTTGGTTAAATCTTAGGTTAATCATTAAACGAATGTGAGCTGTCCCTCCATAGTATAACAAATTTATACATATTTTATACTCGTTTTTTATTGGGTTATTTTACAATTCCAATAATGGCTTCTGGCTCGTAGCTCCAAACTGGGTAGGTAGGCATTAATCAATATGTGTTGTAATCGCTCATCAGATACAAGATTGTTCATAGCCACAAACTTGTGTTTGGCTTTTATTTTTAGAATAACACTGCTTATATATTATTCATCAATGTACAAGCTTATTATCTCATTTCGAGCTTAAAGTTATTAAATATATAAAAGGTATCTAACACCAGTATATTTATCTGATAATGCGTGTATTATAATAACACCCGATAAAGAGACATTAAATATGCATAAACATGATATCTTTACAATAAACATCATCACTCCTTGGCTGGTGATGACTATATATTCATATTGAGGTGTGTCAATGGAATATATCCATTTTGTCTTATATACATTTGATATTATGTTAAGTAGAGCTCACTCCTTTAACCAAACAAATCCAATTCAATACTTCATTATAGAAGGCGCGTTATCTCTATATTGAACACATGAATGTTTAAATATTGGCTGAAATGCATCTTTTTAAACATTAAATAAACAAGAAAGTATTTATAAAATGTAATCACTGATAAATTATTAGTTTCTTCATATCAATATGTAAATAATGATCAGATATAATGTTATTTTCCACTGAATATAAAACCCATAACTGCCTAAATTGAAGCCAATGAATATAAAGACTAAATATTTCTAAAAAATTTTATAAAACTTAAAAAAATCCTTTAAAAATTGGCTAATCAAAACTTGACAAAAGGGTTTGACTAGACCTTTGGCCCCCTTTGTAACAAAAATCTAAAAGTCTTTTTTTATTTATTTTTCCCAAATAGGCAAAAAAAGGGGACCCATTCTCAAAAATTGCCAAAAAATCACTATTTTCCCGTAAAAATTTTAAACCATAAAAAAATTTGTTTTCAAAGGGGGTTTGGAAAAAAAACTTCCAAGGGGATTAAAAAAAAGAGCCCCAAAGGCTTTTTCAGCTTTGGGGGGTTAAAAAGGGTTTCCCCTTTTTAAATCGCCCCCTGGGGGCCTTTTTCCCAGCCTCTCACAAGGTCCAAAAATTTTTTTGGGCAAAATGAGGGGGGAAATTCCCAAATCCCCCCCCAATTTAAAAACCCCCCAAACAGAAGGGGGCACATCCCCCTTTTTTGGAACCCCCTAAATTGGAACCTTTTTTAAAAAATGGGGATCGGGGCCGCCCGAAAAAAAAAGGGGGTTTCCCCCTTTTTAATAAATTTCTCAAACGAAAACTTTGTTTTTTTGGGCCAAAACCATGAACATTTTTTTTTCAAATTTAAAGGCCTAAAAAAAGGAAGGGGGAAATCAAAAGAGTTTTTTCCGCTTTATATAAAAAAGGTAAAGGTTTAAAAGGAAAAAAAAAATTCCCAAACCCAAAAAAATTACTTTTAGAAAAAAAGGGGAATTAATAAAAAAAAAATTTTAATAGGGGGAAAACAAATGAAAAACCCCTAAATTAACTTTGTAGGGAAATAGAATAATGAACAATAAAAAAATTTTGTTGTGCAATAAAAGGAGTCCACTAAAAGGTTTTTTTTAAAATACGGGGTTTTGGCAATAATTTTAAACGAGATTTATTTTTTCCCCCCTTGATTTTTGTGTAGGATCAATAATTTTTAAATATTTTTAACTTCAAAAAAAAATCTTTTTTCCAGGGATGTTTTTTTTAAACTTAAATTGGGAATGTTAAAAGAAGGACCGAATATTTCGAATAGCTGGCAACACAATTGTCCCTCAGAATCGGCTAATAGTTATCATCATATTCCTGAGATATTTCTGAATTATCTAGTTACATATCTTGCTTTTTATAAGTGCCCCAGCTGACCAATGTAAGAAGTTGAATTTTCATGTTATATGCTTTTTAGACAAATTATCATGTAATAAAATGAAAATGTATATACTAAACAAACAATATCAGTTTTTCTATAAATACAGGATTTTTTATTTTCACCTTGTCATGTGGTATGAAATTATCATATTTCAATATTGGCTACTGCCACTCATGGAATATTTATTTTCATACCACTCGATAAAAAATAAATATTGTATTTATTGAAAAAAATAACACTTGAACATCCCCCATATAAAGCTAACAAAAGTCGGAATTTATATATACACACAATTGAAACGTACAACAATATAGCATTTTTTAAGCAAATAGTATCTTTACAGTACCATGTAGAGAATTTAAAATAATTTGAATCGTGGAAAAATATATCAGAGGCTGTTTTTGCCACATCCAAATATTATAGAGATGTCGAGTTGAGAAAACCTGATAAATGGACGACTATTTTAAAATGTCATTGTTTGCTAATCAAATTTTTATAGTAACCAAGAACATGTCATGCTTATTGTGTGACGAACCCTAAATGACGCGAGTATGGCCAAGTCCATTTTGAAATGGCCTGGTTACAACGTAAGTCAACGGAAAAGAGTGAAATTCTAATATCTTAACAATATAATCGACTTTTTGCAAAAAAGTGAAACACATGCCTCCTGAGTACACATCACATCAAACTAGACTTGTTTACTAATATATTAAATAAAGCATGAAATGTTCAAATTTGTTGGGACATACATGCTTTATCCAGTTTTAAACACAATATCCTTGTTGAGTTAAACTAACGCACGGAATTTAATGATAGCAAACTCTTATCGGACATATCATATGTAAAGTAATGGGTTATCTTCCTTTTACTTGTTTTGATGATTGAATAAATACAATGGCTATGAACATTACTGGAAAAGAAATGTTATGTTAGTTCCAATAGGAATTGTTAAGTACAAGTATATGTTGAAACAATATATGTCAGTAAATTGAAGAAAATATAAATGATGAAAATGATTGTGAAAGTTTTGGCAGTTTATGTCTTTTAAGTATCAATGTCATATTTCATGACATTTAAATGAATATCTTATTCATAGGAATATTGTGTCTAAGTATGAAAGCTCATGCTTTTCGAGAAAATGTTAATATAGGCAATGTTGTCTGTAGACAGAAAATTCGACGAACCTACCAAAACAAAAGATGATATGTCTCTATAAATGAACTGATTCATGGAGGTTATAATATAACAGTTTTGATACAGATCAATCTTTTGTTCAAAAGATTTACCAATTATGAAGTAATTTCCTTTCATAGTAATGTTCAGTTATCGAATTCTAATGCCTTACTTGTAAGTTCAGATAATTTTGAAGTTGAGCCTGGAACAGACAAAGTGAAAAAGGAAGGGTAGGTGCTTTTCGTTTTTTAACTTTTTAGCGGGTCAGACAAAATTAAACATTATGTCATACAAGAAGGCATATTATGAATGCATGATAATAGTTCCGACATGAATTTGTTTCATTTCTTAAAAACTTTGAAGGCAAGTCATTTTGCAAGGTAAATGACCGTCTCTCAATTAAGGCCTAGAACCTAAGATAGCCCAGTTGTGAACGTACACTTGCTACATAATTCATTTATTTGATCAGCAAAATAGAAAATAAGCAAGTGTGGAAAATAAAATCCAAATAATGTATAATAGCGCATGTCAAGAAGCTAACTTATGTTTTGAGTCTAAATCCTAGTCATTTTTGCTAACATTTGAAATTGTTTGATAATTCTTATGCAGTCTCTATTTAATGAAAAATAAATATTTTTCAGAAGATAATTTATTTTTGAACTCTACACATGTTAGGTAAACTTATTGTCAATAAAAAAACTGGTGGATCAAATGAACTTGACCAGTAATAGGGAATGAAGTTCCCCAAGTATAGTTTGGGCATTTTCTTAATCAAATAAGACCTATTTAGTGGAAATGAAGATCATAGTATATAAAAGTTAAACATAAGTTTTTATTGTCCTTTTCAGACCTGTCAGGAGTGACGACAGTCAAAATGGGAGCGTTGGGAAAAGGTCCTCCTTCAGGAAACCTGCCAGTGTTGGTGCAGAAAGGTCACCATCTGTTGAGAGGGTTAGGCAGTTATCTGGCTGTCAAACGTCCCTGAATGAAGTGTCAGAAAAATAAAGTACAATCATCCCGGAAACCTATATTGAATCTCCTGTGGAGATGAAAAAACATATTAAACATCGGGGTAAGAATAGGATAATTGCTAGATAATTTCATTAATATTATTCATTCATTACATTTATATATGCAAAATGATATTTATTATACATTATGAAACATTGTAATGTATGGGAAACTTTATAAGTCCCTAAAGGGACGGACTAATTAGTCCCTTCGAGTTCTGTTGTCTTCTTGTCCGCTTCAATATTGGTCTTTTCAATAAATATCTTCAAATTTGAATCTTTTTCCACTGCCAGTGTTTATCTAATTTTAATTTAAACTCGTTCACATTTTTGGATAAAACTTTTTCTAGGGTAAGGAGGTTTCATTAGTTGACAACTCTATAAACGAAGGAATGTTGTCTTTTTGAATTTAGTAGTCTTAATGTTTCTTAACTTAAAAATATAGTTTGCAAAATCATTTTAATAGAGCTAGATATGATGTATAAAATCCCATCTTTTAAAAAATCTTGTATTGTAGTATTATTAAACTTTTATAATGAGCGGTCAAGTTTAGTCACAAGACCCTTTTTGGGTAAACTAAATTTATCTTTAATTATCTATTCTAGGTTATGTCGATGTATACAGTAGTTTTAACAAGCGTAAATGGGGAAAACGTTGGTGTCTTGTACATGAGAACAATTTTGAATGTTATCGGACACAAACGAGTGAAGTTTGCGAGTTGGAATTTCTTCTCAGGAGTATATTAAAGCGAGCTATTAAGGAAACAAAAAGTGAGCTTGGTCTAATGCTCCTGGAAAATAATAGGAAGAAAATAACAATAGAGGTATGTGTGATAGAAAGTCATAATTTTGAGCAGATTTGAAGGTACTTTGATTTCTACAGATTTTAAAGTACTCTGTTGAAATAAATCATTTACAACTCTGTCTCTTAAGTTATATCATATTAATATGCACGTTTAAAAGGCTGTTACATTGTTGAAGTTGTAGATTTTACACAATACTTATAATTATGTATCTTAGATACCAGCATTTGACACTTGCAACATACAATACGCTTTCGACAGGTCATTTTTATTTGTTTGGGTCTTATTTGCAAATGCCGAAAGTAGTCCAAACTCCTCGAAGTGGTTACTTCCCTTCATATGTACATTTATGTCGGAAAATTAATGGGAGATCACTGCGTAAAGATTGTCAAATGTCAGGCGCATCAATTTTCGTAACGAAAAATTAGTTCCCGATTGATCGAAGATTTCTAATATTGTGTTATTCTTATAGATATACATGCTTATATTCAGCTCCATGATTATTCACTCCAGTGTTAAACAACATGTTTACCATGAACAAAATATATAGATATTAATAAGGGTTACAAACTCTAATCTAGAATAATATGTTATTCTGCATTTGGGTCCCCGTGGTCGAGGTGTTAACTCGCTCGCTTTTGAAGCGAGAGGTCTGGAGTTCAAATCCCAGTTAAGGCAACTAATGTTTTTGTTTTTGTTTTTTTTTTTAAGCCAAATAAACATTGAATTGAATATCAGTGTCGCAATTAGTCTTATAGCCAATTTACTATAGTTATAACACTTGAATCAGGATTGGTGACACTATACAAACAAATTGGTTTATAATCCTATAACCTTCACCTTTCTGACATTATGAGACCCACCCAAACAAATTCAGCGCCTTCTGTGCTTTGATTATATGATATTTCCTGGGTTTTTTTTGGAGGGGGGGGGGGATATGGATAATTATACTGATACAGGGAAATGGAACACTTGCCTGTGTAAAACCATTAATTCGTTGACTGAAGTATTTATGGATTAAACCCAAGATAAAGTATAATATACCAGGTTAGGTTTAGAAGTTTTACGATGGAAGGTAGCACTTTCAATTTCCCTTCATGAACAGACTACATCAGAGTTAGCCTGCAATTAATTGGAAGTGTATTTTAATTTAATTATTTAGCCAATTCATTGAAAATGTATTATTATTTCATTGTTTAGCGTATAAATTGGAAGTGTATTATTATTTCATTATTTTACCAATAAATTGAACGTGTATTATTATTTTGTTATTTAGCCAATTAATTGGACGGAGCTTGGTTCCTGGCTTCGAGTTCTGATGCAGGAAACTAGTACACAGAAAACACCTGAAGGATTGGAGGGCTATATGGATGATACACATCCTTATCATGAAGCTGTTGAGATAACTTGAGTACCTGATCCTACCAATAGATCTTCTTATGTAAGTCATACAATTTATCAAATGAGTTCACATGTTTACCCAGTAAAGCTGACCGCTAATGGGTTAAAATTGGCAAAAAACAAATTCAAACAAAAAATTAAACGCACAAGCATCTTTTACAACAATAATAGTATTGTTTTATTTGATAGTTTCAGTATACAAAACAAAACAAATAAAAGAAGAAAAAAAAGGAAAAAGATTTTAATGATAGAATATTGCACGTAGAATATTTTTGGTTAATTGTTCTTGTGGTTATTTATTTTTTGGCTTTACGAACATAAGAACTGATCAATATGGATCTATCTTGTGACAAAAAAGATTCAAGGTCTTAAGTCTAAATCATTCTGAAAAATATCTTTCTCTCTAAACAATATGTATTTTTATTATAGTTATCTGTTAAACCAAGAGGACAATCATCAACATCTTTGCCCGATGAACAGACAAGATCAGGTGGTCATGAGAACCGTGACAGTGGAATATGTTCCTCAGAATCAACTAAAGACAGATTTAACTCATTAGATAGAAACAGAAACTCTCCAAAAGTACATCCTTGTTTCACAGATTCTAGTCTCCCACGAGTTAGTGTCTTTGAAACTGGTGCTATTTATACTCAGATGAAAAGACCCAGTGTAACTGGATCTTCATTATCACCAACAACAGGAAGCGTGAGTAATTGCAGCAAGTCTAATGAAAACTGTAGAAAAGATGATGACGCAAATAAAAATAATGATGATGATAATTTATTCTTTGACTTTGAAATTGATACATTTGGAAATTCATCTAATAAAAGGGGCAGCAGTTTAGTAGATGAGATAATGTGGGAATTGAAGATTCAGCACGATACTGGTAAGACATCTACTGAAACTGGTGAACAGAACATTTTTTGAACTAACAGACAATAATCAAGAGTCATTGACTATAACTAAAAGGAAATCAGTGGATTTCAGTCCTATAGAGAATGATATCAGTCCAATTAAATCCGAACATGTAACGACTTCAGGCAGAGAATCTGATTTTCTTTGCTCAAGTTTTGATATAAATGACAATGAACAAGTAACAAGTGATTTAAAATGTGATAATAATGAAGAGCCAAATTTAGTAATTGTTGTTAACATTAGCTCAGTTGGAAAAATGACGTCAGTGAAGAGGCATCCTTCAAACGTGTCGGCTAAAATAGATGTCACAGAAACTTTAGCAGAGCTGAGAACAAGACTTGTACAGCTTAAGAAAGACAGGTTAGTCCATTTACTTAGACAACAATTTTTTTTATAAAAACATTGGATGATGTTACTTTTGATATCATGAAAGGGGAAATGAAAAATCTGACTGACTAAAATATTTTCATTAATAAGAGTTATTCCTTTTTGGTGAAGAAATACTTCCGTTTGTTTGTATTCTTTGAAATAATTCACATTGATACTTGAACGTTTACATATTTTGCCGTAGAGTTTCAGTTGTGTAAGTGAATAAAGAAATGATACGCTTTTAGTCAGATGCAAGCGGGTTTCTTACATAACACAAACCAAAATGCTTTAAAATTCCCCTTGTGGCTAAAGTATATTTATAAAAGTCAACAAGCCATTTAATAAGGATGCCTTTGTTAATAAATGCCCATTACTAACAGGTTTATTATGTCAAATTTGCTCAAATCTTCATATAATTTTTTGAAAAATGAAGACTCAATGGTATTGTTACTAGGCGGCCACTGCAATAAAACAATTTGATCCTGTTGTAAACAACCTTTGACTGATAATATTTTAGGGCAGGACGAGAATGTAAGTAGCACTGTTCAAAAAACTATATGAAGACAGTCTTTCAAACAGTACTGAACACTAACAAATGAAAATACAGAATGTATTGCAGACAATGTAACTTTATTTGGAAAAAACAGTTAAACTATTCTGAGTTCCAACAGAAGGATTTTTGATAGTAAAAGCTTTGATACAAGTGTTTTCTAAGAAGAAATATTATCTAGTGATCCTGTAACTAAACATTTTACTGACACAGAAACAAGTTTAAAATAGTGTCAGAAAAACGACAAAATGAAATTAAGGATACTATTGACGATGAAATAAATACAAACTTGGACATTTTACGGAACAAAATTCCCAGTGCTGATCACACTGTTAATGATTGTCGAATGGCGAAGAAATTCAAAATACTTGCAAACGTGTGGCAGATTCTGTCTGTGATAATTAAAGTGTGCCAAATGTAGCTGAACCTTTCAAAGCAAATAAGGGATTCTAATAATTTTGATAACAAAGAAGTCAAATCTGAAATAGAATAAAATTTTGTTCTACTACTGGCCTAAATATTTATTTAATAAGAAGGTACAGAATGTTAATTTTAAGATCATGTCAATCAGAAGTTTTTACTGTATGCATATTACATTAATTTCTTCTTAGAAATGTAAGTGCAATGTATTTGAAGATCTATGAGTACACTGAATATGATATTTAATTTTTTTTAACTTTAGATTAAAATCACAACCTTTTTTATTTTGTTAAGACTTTATATTTTAGATACTTTATATTTATGACATGTTAGCATATTTATTGCACAAACTTGTGAAAAATTTCTATAAAGTACATTTAAATTTGAAAGTTTTAACACCAATGGCGTATTAACAATGCTAAGTTTGATGAAAATGCTAAAGTTCAGTGTCATAAAATTTTGATATTAACAGTAAACGAAAACCTTTTACGCGACCAAGATTACAAATTATAAGTTTTACAGAACTGTAATCATTGAGAAGGACGAAAACTTCATTTATGTATCCAACGATTGATGTGAAATGTAAATGATTTGTTTTTAAAAGAGGCACGAAATGTAAATGATTTGTTTTTCAAAGGGGCCCCCACCTATTGTTGTTCTTGACTATAAATTTACTGCCATAATTCCATTTATCCATATGACTGTATATCTTGAACTGACTCAAAGTTATGTATTTGTCCAGAATATTAAAGTATTTGACCAGAGTAATAACGTGCTGGGGGTTTAATTCTTGTTTCAAATGAAGGTACTTTGCTAAATCATAATAGAAAACCAAAAGTAAACACCATGGTTTTTGCTTTTTTAAATTTTATTTGAATAATCCATTTTTTAATTATTGATGACATATCCGAAATAATAGTTAAAATATAAAATGAATTTTAAAACGAAGTATGCTCGTTTTGTATATTCTGTTACAAAAACTCTATGAATTTTTTAATTTTTTGTTGGTTAATCTTACGTTAATATAAACAATTTATGGTCTATGTTATAATTTATCATTTATACTCGTATAGTGGGTATTTAATTTTTACGATTATTTGTGCTGTTGTGTTTTATCAAAAAATGTAAAATAACATGTGTTGTAACGCTCTGCAATACAATTGAAATACACAAAACTTGTTTGGCTTATTATGAATAACCCGGCTAATATGTTCACATCTGTACAGTTTTCATTCAAGAACTTATGATTAAATTAATACAGGGACTATATGTGCCATGTATTTCTGTATGCAATACTAAGTAAGTGAAAAATAATAGCAAAACATGATACACACCTAAAGATAAATTCAATACAGGTTGTCAAGAAAATCATTGTGATAACATCAATATATTTAGAGTGATTATGAAAACGTCTTTCGAATATGGTACACTATCCCTTGAACACGATTTTAAGTTAAAATGCATGGAAACCTTTATAAAATAAACATGATTAAAAAGAAAATGTTTCACTGGCTTGAAATTTTCTTTTCATTATCTTTGAACCGATTGTAAATAAATTTTTCAAAGACAAGGTAAATTAGTACAATTACTTTGGGTACGATAATGGGAATTCATAAAAATGTAAGCTTTAAAAATGAAACTAATTGTGGGACCGAGGAAATCTAAAATCTACATGTATGCATAACATATGAACAATATAAACTTGTGATCATTAAAGGGACTCCACTGAGGTTTTTGGACATGACAGGACTGGAAGTTATCTTTCGAGATTAATATTCCAATTGATGCATGTGTTTACCAATAACATGTGAATTTTTAAACTTCAGATCATTATCTTAATCTGTTTTTCAAGGATAATTACTCGAATTGAATGTGAAAACAAAAAAATGATCAAATTTCAAACGCTGCAACACCTTTCACTCAAATCAGGCAATGATTTTCAATTTATTTCTGAGTATTATTCTGAATAATCTTTAATTTATCTCTCTTTTTAAGTGCCTCATCTGACCAATGTAAGAAGTTGAAATTTTATGTTCTTAGGCTTTTGTTTCTCAGTGGAGTTCCTTGAAATTTAATACAAATACAAACATTCGGATATGTGATCATTTATGACTGACCTGCCTGCAATGCAAAGACAACTGACACACATACTACGGTATTATAAAGAAACTAAAAGAAAAATATATTTTTGGAATATTACTGATGTTAACGACATATTCCTTCTCGAAAACAAATAATAATAAAAATTAAGATATGTAAAACATACCAACTTTTAAGAATCAAATCTGCGTGCAGAATAAGAAAAAAAGTCTTATTATACTAATAAACATCATAGTTGTCTCTTGAAGTCACTTTCAAAAATACTCTTTTTTAATAGTTTACCAAAACAAAAATGTGAAGAAAAAAATGAATCTGTACAAAAGCCTTTAAAGGGATCTTTTCAAACATCAATTCACAAAATATTACAAAAATGCAAACACGTCGCAATACGTGACAAAAAGTCGAGATTGTAGTTACATTCACTTGAAGTATATCTTTGGTAATTAGGAATAATGAGGTTATAGAACAATATAAAACATAAAAAAGTTTTCTTCTTTTTTCCCTTTTCCTTTTATTCAATATAACAAATTCTTATATGCTTATAAATGAAATATTGAGACATATTGATGGAATAGAATGGATATTTTCATTTTCTATATTTACACTGTAATTTTTTTTTTCACTGCGTTGAAACATATTTTTCGTATTTCCACTTGTGTTTTATCAGACTACTTTCTTCTTTATTCAGCCAAAAACGAATTTTAAGGAAACTTTTTAAATTATTAAAACAAAAAAGGGAAAAAAGTTTTAAATACAATGGGAAAAATTTAAAGTTTTTCCCAAAATTACAGGATTTTCTTTTACGAATTGGTTTTTGATGAAAAAATTTCATAAAGCCCCTTTTGGAAAAAACTTGAATATCCTTTCTCTATAGCTTAAAAAGAAAATCAGATTTTTTTTTTTATAGTTTTTCTTAATATATGGGGTATTTAATAAAACAATAAAAAAAAGATAAAAAAAAATTTTTTGGGCAAAAAGCGACTTGCCCAACCCCTGTTCCAATGTATTATTAGGGAACATAGATACTCACACCCAAATGGACTTGCAAAAATAAAGCATGTTTTAAAAAACGGGGTTATTTTTACAGTACTTTTGGGGAGAGAAGAAAAAAAACTTGAAATGTTTTCATTTAAATTTTATTTAAAATTTACTGGAAAAAAGGGGCCCCTTTTTACACACTAATAAATTTTACTAAAAGAGTCTTAAATGAAACATGATACGAACCAAATTTTTATTTGTATTTTAACTGATATGAATGTCCTGTATTTTCTACAAGACACGCTTCTTCACACGGATGTACTATATTTTTTCTTTTTGTCAAGATAATACGAATGACCTTAGACATGCACTGTTTTTATGACTTTTCAGCCTTTCTCTATTGCCTTACTAAAACATCTTGTAGGTCATCGCTACTAGAGTAGACATAGACTTGGGTTGCCCATTTTGCGTTTATTGAAAGGAAAACCTAAGGAGGATCACGGTACATTAATTCTTATCTCCTTTTATTTTATTGATAAATGTATATTGCATTAGTGATAACGTGTATGTATTAACACGGAGGTCGTAAAAAAATATTTCAGTTTACTAGCGATTTTCCGTTCCCCTACGACACGTTGCTCGCTTGACTGATAAGTTATCTAATCTAGTCATATTTTTATTATTTCCTTAAAAAATGAATATTTAAACACGACAGACTATCAACGTGATTTTATAAATCTGTTAAATGTAAAAATTTATAAAGAGGTATTTCACTTCAGATGGTTTTAATTGACGATTAGACATAAATGCGATTGTTTGATCGTGAAAATGTCTTTTTACATCAAATGTTGTTCCTTAATTAAAAATTTAAAAATTGATCAGTGGTTTATAAAAATAATCATTTACCGAGAACATGTCATGTTAATTGT